AAACATAAATGTGTACAAAATAAACTATATATCCAGCTGTTCTACAATCACCATGTTTAAAAAACAAAAAATAAATATACTTATCTATATTAAAAAATATCCCTAAATAAACTTTGTTAAGCCTACTCGTTTCAACGCAATTATATGTGTTTGGAGATCGTTTGACACAGAAATAGAAATTGCAATCAAAATTCAATTATGTTTCAGCTTCGGTGTCCAAGTAATTTCCCTTGTGGGTCAATAAAGTCTAAAACATTGACTAGAGACCTACTGATCAATTAGTCAATGAAAAAGGGGCGTGGCAAAAGATCTCAAACCAATTCCATATCTGTGTGTATCTGACCCAAACTGCACTCACAAGACTACACCTGCAGGGGGAGTTCATGCTCAAACTACTACTTATGCCATTTATTAATGAATCATGAGTGTAATCTCTCTTTTTAAGTTATAAACACCAAAATCTTCAGCTAACTCACTCCACACCTTCTTCTTACTGTAGGTGTCCCATATGAATCCTCACAATCAATACAGAATGATTAGATGTTTGAATGATCTTTTAGGGAGGAATATCAAATGCAGAGCTGCAAAGTCTGAGGTGCAGAAGGCAAGAGTTAACAGTTATGTAATAAATGCAGTGATGACTGAACTCCACTTTCAGACTGGTGCAAGCACAGAGACACTGACTGCAGCAATACACATTAGAATATAGCAATTCACAAGGTCCCATTACACAAAACTGACTCTTGTGAGCTTTAAACCATGTTAAAAAAAAAAAAAAACACTACCTAAAGTTGTGTTTTGTTCACTTTCACACACAGATTTGAATAACTATTATTAAGTCTGTCTACATTTCCAAAGCTCAAACTGACTAATGTACCTGATTTGTTATTAAAGTGAATTTCACATATTTTAAATGGAATTCTCCATTTAGGGCCACCAGAATCTCAAGATGATCGAAATTTCCATTTCAACGAACGCAAACTGTGCATGTCATTCTTGTGCAGTTTGTCAGTTCTTCTACAATTGTTTAAAATATGAACTAAATAAATACTATTATTAAAACATAAATCACCAATCTAATCACAAAGCTGGTCAGAAAATCAGCAATTATATATTTCTTCCCAATTGTGCACTCATAGTACTATTATGTATCTATTTTATAGTACAAGTTTAAGTATTTTAAGTTAACCTGAACTCATTCGTATTGCATAACTATATAATATATCATTTTCGCATGGTCTTCCTCTTGTATATACCTGAGATTTTGAATTACTTATATTTCTATTTTATTTTGACTTGTACATATACATTTATATAATTATGCCTTATCTGACACCTGTCTCTTACTCCTTTTTGCTACTTACTTAGAATGTTTTATTATCATTTAAATTTTTACTCTTTGTTATTACATTATGTTGTGATGTGTCCAAATAATTTCCCTTGTGGATCAATAAAGTTTGTCTATGTCCAAGTCTAACTATCACACAACATTCAAAAAGATGTGCAAACCAAAATAAGCACAACACGCACACAGGGCTGTAGTCGAATAAAGACATTTTGAGTCAATTAAAGACATTCTTGCTGGACTAAAAACTGATCAATTAGGGGAATAAAAAGGGTCAGAAACTAAAAAGCTCTCCAAACTATTCCGCATGTCTGCATCTGAGCCAAACTGCATTCACAAGACTGCACCTGCAGAGGGAGCTCATGCAAAAACTGCTATTTATGCAGTGTTGGGAAGGTTACTTTTAAAATGTATCCCCCTACAGATTACAGATTACATACCCCAAAATGTAGTGAGTAACGTAATCTGAATACTTTGGATTACTTGATATTGTCATGGTTTTTAAAACGACATGAATGTACCAACAACATCCTGAAAATTCATGTTTGTTCTCTTTAAATTGTCTGTTGAGTTCAAGTCTCGATGAACAGACATTTGTTTTACTGTAGAGAAGCAAAGACGAGGATCTTAACATGAGATGCTTTGTCTGCTAAAAGAAAATAAAAAGCCCAGTCTTTACTTAAACATATTAAAAATATTATTGGTCGAAAAATGCTTTATATATGAGGTCACTGCTGCCTGAAATTATGTCCACCTACTGTTAAGTGTCATATTGTTTAGTGCTGGTTTAGTGCTGGTTTAGTGCTGGTTTAGTCCTGGTTTAGTCCTGGTTTAGTCCTGGTTTAGTCCTGGTTTAGTCCTGGTTTAGTCCTGGTTTTAGACCTGGTTTTAGACCTGGTTTAGTCCTGGTTTAGACCTGGTTTTAGACCTGGTTTTAGACCTGGTTTTAGACCTGGTTTTAGGCCTGGTTTTACTGCTGGTTTAGTTCTGGTTTAGTCCTGGTTTAGCCCAAAATGTAAAAACGGAAAAATACCGCCATGTAATCCATTTATTTCAACAAAGTAACTGTAATCCAATTACCTTACTTACTCACTGAAACAGTAACTGTAACTGAATACAGTTACTCATAATTTGTACTCTGATTACTTAACTCCGGTACATGGAATCTGTTACTCCCCAACACTGTATTTATGCAAAAAGTAGTATTAGAAAACAATATATTTCTATAAACATGTGAATTATAAATTTAATCTGACTGTTTACAGATAAATACTTAATAATACCACATGGTCAGCTCACTCACTCATGCACTCACTTCTCATTTCTGCTGTTGTCCTGCAGAAATCCTTATCTAAATACAATGATTAGCCAACTGATGTCAATTTTGGTCACTTCGAACTCCATCGACCAATTAATTGACTTAACAATTAGAGGACTACAGCCATATTGTACATAGCAACAATAAAATCGATTTTATAAATGCATTAGAACTCACTTGCATGTTAGACCAGAGGCTAGTTTGACCACAGCTGAGTTGAGGGAGTTGATCCAGTCCAAAAGCCACATGACCCCAATCAGACTTAATACAACATGCATTTAGTATAGAGGAAGATGTTAGCGAACTGCTACATGTATGACACAAGGGACAGTCCAGGAGCAGTACAGGGTATTTCTGTAGCTCTGAGCAAAGCAGAGAGAGGTGGAGAGACATAGAGATAGAGAGAGAGAAAGAAAAGAGAATGCAAGATAAAAAGGGAGGGAGATGGGCGAGAGGGACTGAAGAGATACGAGGGGGGATTGGAAGACAGAGAGAAACCGAGAGAGACAGGAGAGATGGAGCAAGGAATGAGAAGAGAGAGAAAGGGAGACAGAGATGAAAGAGGAGAGGGTAAGAGGAATTGTGGTTATGACAGTACCATTTGAATTAACTTGACTTCTCAGCACAGCTCCGGAGAGGAAGAAACAAGATAACCCACATTCTCCTCTCCACACTGGCTTCCTGTTTGTTTCACATTTGAGAGTTGTGTTTTTAAAAAGGCTGAATCATCTGTTGCTGGCACCTCTATCCAATTCAGAAATCCAAATCTATACAAAAGTGTATAAAATGTTCACTTGGCAGATGTGAGGGTTTACATCAAACAGTGTAATGGTACACTATAGTGAGGTTGTCAAAAAAGATATCCGGATACTAAATAATAACAAAACTTGTATTGAAACTAGATACGGTAATGAGGAGGTATTACAACTGAAAATATAGGACATTTGACTTTTCCTGAATAGTTTTATAATGGTTTTGCTCTATATCAGAACTAGTAAAAGACTACTATTATTTTGTATTAAACAGTCACATTTAGATAGCACTTTTCTACCTTCTAGGCCAGACATGTCAAACTCAGGCCTGGGGGCCAAATTTGGCCTGTGATATAATTATATTTGGCGCGCGAGATCATATCAAATATGTATAGAGAGCTGGAATGCAATTAGACAAATAACTACAACAGAACAACTCACTCCCCATTTACCCAGGACAGTCCCAGTTTTGAGCCCTGCATCCCCTGTCCCAGCACATTTATCCCAAACGAGTGATTTGTCCCAGTTTTATACAAGAAATGTCCCAGATGTCTCCATTTTTGACCAATTTGACCTCTGCCAAGAGTAAAGAGAGGCTTAAACTGTCATTTGTTTAAGTAAAACACAGAAAAACTGCTTAAAAATGACCAAAACACAAAGAAAATGTGACTACTGTCTCACATGTTAGTCATGAATGGGCCGAGAGCAACAATTTTCCTTCATTTAGCATTACTTAGTATTATGAGTAAAGTTTGCTCCTATACAAATGTTTCAGGCATGATGACATTATACTATAGTTTAATCTATCCTTACATCATGTATTGTCAGGTGGTTTGGGGTACTGCATGTAAGACATATCTCAACAAGATTTTATTAATACAAAAGACTTTTTTAAGATTTATGAATTATTCATAATGTCCTCATCTGCTCCTCTGTTCAGAAAATATCATTCTGACCATATTTAATGTAAACATATATTATATTTGTTCACGTATAAGTATGTGCATTCATCGAATGTTTTACCCACAACTTTTGAAAACTTAATTTAATGTACTCTTCAGATGTTCACACCTATACTATGAAACACAACAGAGATTTTTATCTTCCCTTGTGCAGAACATCCACAAATCAAAGAACACTCAAGTTCAGCGGTCGACCCTCTGAAATAATTTAGCACAGAATCTCAAATCAATTTCCTCACTGGATTATTTTAAAAGACAATTAAAACACACATTGTCTTCTAATGATATTTAATATGTCAACTACTGAAAGCCAACTTGAGTGATCATGAATGTTTATATGGGAGGTCTTCTCATTCTTTCCGGCAGTCTTATTTTATTTTATTTTTTTCCTACTACTTGTTTGAAATGTTTTTAACAATATGTGCAAATAAAATCTAAATCTAAATCTAATTACACACTCGTTTCACTTTTTTATTATTACCAACCACCACAAAACGGGGAGTCCCAGTTTTTGAGTTGGAAAAACTGCTCTTCCTGCACTACAACATCTGAATGTTGACAATGCACAAATCTGTTTAAATCCCGGAAAGATCAAGCCATATGCATAAAATAATCCCACATACCTTTTAGCGGGTTTTCTTGGCTTGCTTTTCTTCTTTCTGGCTTGCAATGCGAGCACTAAAAGCAAAGACAGGTGGAACATTTAGCCACCTTTAGGTTCAATGACAACAGTGCATTTAACAGCAGCATGGATTATTGAAATATCTCTATGACAGAAGCATCTTATGTGTCTTGTATGTTGTTGATGTTTTTGTAGTTCTCAGGCGTGCTAGCAGGTGGTTAGCTCCCAATGCTAACACAAGTGGCTTTAGCATCACAACACTTCCCGTATATATATCATGTTTTGATGACATTTTGGATTTACCAGTTTTATTCCTGGCGTATCCTTAAGCAGTACGATTGCACTGTCCAGCTGAAATGATCAGAAGTTGTGTCGGAATGTGCTGCTTTAATGTGATGCTAACTACGATGCTACTGCTAGCTACAGAAAGCAAAGCGCGTGGTTCCACTTTTACTCAACGGTTAATGCGCTCCAGGTAAACACACTTTCGGATGGATTTGCGGATTAAAAGAAACATTTCCCGTGGTCTAAACGAGGAGATCGTGGTTTATAATGTGCTGTTGTGGACTGTACCTTTCCTCTCCATGCTGAAGACTGGGGACACACGCTGCGTTCAAACGCCGGTACAAGTGTTCGGATTTCTGGAGTGCGCCAAGAGTCAAACACAGAGGCGCGTTCAGGGACTGTCAGAAATACTGGAATACTCAGATAAACTACTAAAAAGTGAAAATGGAATCTTATTTTGCTTTTTTGTCATGACACTATCATGCCATATCCTTAAATAGATTACATCCTTAATATATTTTTCAACAATTTATATGAATTTCTAAATTTTACAATATATCACTTAAAGCCACAGTCCATTTTATCCAGTCCAGTCCAACCTGGGGGGGGACTCTCTCTCTCTGTGGGCTGTAAATTTGGATGGGGTCTGAGGCATAGTGTGAGGCCAGTCCATTCAAAACAAACAATGAAATCTTAAAAATCAATTCTAAAATGAACAGGAAGCCAGGAAGTGCAGTAATGCGCTCTCTTCTTTTGGTTCCTATTAAGAGCACGACTTGTTCAAAAAGTTTAAAAGATAAAAAAGGTTTGACTTTGGATAAAAGCTGCAAATGATAAAAACTTGACTTTAAAACAACACTGATCCGCAAATTTAAAATCACTGTCTAAGGTGACACCAAGGTTGGTGACTGTGGGGTGAACATCATTTTTGAGGTGTCCCACGTCAATGAGGGTACTGCCGGATCCACAGTATCACCTCAGGCTTTGCTTCATTCAGTTTTAAAAGGTTTTGGACCAACCAAGCCTTGACATCAGATAAACAGTCGAGTAGGTGTGTCAGCCTAAAATACACTCCTATAACAGCATGTCTTTTTATTAGTATTACAAAGTGACGCTCATAGTGGGCTGTAAATGAACTGACAAGAAGTGAAATGCCCGTAGTGACCCTCACCATGATGTAGGACAGGGGTTCCCAAACCTTTCAGACCGCGACCCCCAAATTTAGCTGATGACCTTTTACGACGAACAACATAATGATTTCTCTTTGCCAACACGGGCCAGGACAATGGTGGGACACGGACAGCGCAGGAGGAGGATGCTACCTGAGAGAAAACTGGTCCAAAACTGGGCAAGACGGCTTGTCTGATCTCTGTAATATGGAGCCCCGGGTCCAAATGTATATAATGTAAATATTTGCTTAAATACTTTCTGATATGTTATCCCAGTTCTTTTATATTTGATTAATTGTTTTAATATTGTTTATTGTCTGTTTGTCTGTTTGCCCAGTATAAAATTATTAAAATAAAAGCCAAATATTTATTATAAGGTAGTTTGAGAACACTCTTACTCTCCCATATAAGTGTATATAATCTCTGCCTTTAGTTTGACTGCAGATTCCACACTGAGCTGTCTTTGCTTTACTCTTCTGTTTGTAGCTCATGCTGGGCAATCTGAGAACATTCTGAGCTAATTCTAGGACCATCTCCATTTGTAAGTGATACAAATGAAATATCAGTTATTATTTCTTTGCATTCACAGACATAATGTGTCTGTGTGTGTTTTCTAGTTGCATCTCCAGCTGGAGTAAAGGCTGTATTCTGGGGGTGTGGTGTCAGCTCCCTGCACAGGTGTGTTCTCTTATAGGGGTGTAATAATAACTGAAATATCATATTGTATTGACAAAAGTCTCACAGTAATATCGTGGGCCATTACAATATATCGAATTACAAGTCTCTTTGCTATAGTTATGATGATTTGAATGTCTTGTTTTGTGAAGCACTTAAAATGACTGTGTATGTATTGTGTTATACAAATGAACTCACCATGGTGCAGGGACCTACATCATGATCCTTTAGTGCAGACTTTATGAAGAACAACTGTTATTATGCATTTTAAAATTTAAATTCTTCATATTATAACTGTACCAGAAGCTTTTCAAGGCCTTTCCGAGGCTTTTAAAAGGAAAAAGTAGCATATTCACAATTTTGTAAGTCTCCACAAAATATTGCAATGTACTTATACAATATTTTCATGATATGCATCTCATGGTGAGATGCATATCATGAAAATATTGTATCAAAAATATTGTATTAAGGTTTGCTGTAGTTACATCCCTATTCATTTACCTGTGTTCTCTGATCTTGTAGACTGGCTTTGTCACACCTGTAATTGTGTTTTTGTGTCATTCCTTTTGTAGCCCGTGCCACATGTTTATGGAATCATGGACGAGTGCTGGATGTGCCTCTTCTACTGCCACAGTCCTGCTCTGGGTGACTCTGCTCCTTTAAAGTGGTTAAAATTACACTGGTCCATATCTGCACCGGATCTGGCTAAAACGAAACCTTCGTATTACAGACCCGACGCAAATGAAGAGGAAAATCACATCCGTTTTCAGCAGTTCCAGGCCAAATGTAGTGATTGTTAAAGATCTGGCTCAGACCTGTACCCGCTCCACCTCAGATCGGTAAAACAGATATAGGTATAGGGTAATTGGAAATGGGGACCATTCATTGAGCACTAATATTTCACTGTCTCTTGCAGCCTTCAAAATAAAGTACAAGACTGAACGATGGATGAAGAGTGGTGGCTGTGGTATGGTCTCCATTGGTGTCTGAAGAGAAGACTAGTAGGCTATTTATTTTGATTTGCATATGCTCCCCCCCAAACAGGTTATGCAAACAGTTATTAAGTTTTCTCTTTTTCAAGGAATGGTATGTACCCTGCACTTTCACTGTTTTAAAATGGTGTTGGGGTTTATGTCCTAACCATTCAGATCAGAGAGAGGCATTTAACTTTAAGCTAACTGGATTTCAGTTCTAAAACTGGCAACACAAATGAGAGACCCGTGCAAGGCTCATTCTGTTTTCTGATTGGATAATCATCTTGAGAAACAAAACACCATCCATCCATCCATTTTCGTCTGCTTATCCGGGGCCGGGTCGCGGCAAAACACCATATTATAACATAAACAAATGAGACCTCATGCCCAGTATTTTTGTAATTAAGAATAAAATGGCTTTAGAATTGTTATCAGTAAAGCTGTATTTGATTTGAACAGCATTTGAACCTCATACCTGGCAACAATCAATCAATCAAACTTTATTTGTATAGCACTTTTCATACATTTGAAATGTAGCACAAAGTGCTTCACATGCAACAGAAAAATTACAATACAATAATTAAAAACAACAGCAACCCCCCATCCCATTCCATTGTTTCATCCATATATACAACAGTTTAAACATAAACATAAAAACAAAAACATAAAGCTCCTAAAGGTTATCATAAAAATCAAAATGGAGAGCTAAAATCAAATGGAGACAAAGTAAAACAGTAATGATAATTTAATTTAAAATAAATATAATAATAGTAATAATAATAATGACAATAATAATAATAATTTAAGTTAAAACATAAAAGTTTCAATTAAAAGCTAAATTAAAAAGATCCGTTTTGAGTTTACTTTTAAAAATATGAACACTCGCAGCGGACCTCAGATCCTCAGGTCGACTGTTCCACAAACGGGGGCCGTAAAAGCTGAATGACGCCTCACCGTGAGTTTTTGTTTGGACTCTTGGGACAGTTAAAAGACACACTTTTAAAATTCATATCTTTCATACAGTTCCTTTAGGCAAGGCACTGCATGTAACTAGGGAAAGATTTTGAAATGTCAATTTGAAACTTCAGTAGTTGTCCTACATAAATGTTAAGGGGCATTTTAAGTGATTTTAAGAATGACCAAGACTCCCAGACTGATAGTTTGTTGAAAATACATGACATGTTTGCTTTGTTTTCACACATTTCACTCATGTTTTTAGGCGATCTGCGACACATCACGAAGCTGAAGCCGTGGGGTCTGAGCGACGTCCTGGTGGAGAAGTACGAGTGGAGCAAAGAGGAGGCTCAGTCCTTCAGCAGCTTCCTCCTGCCCATGTTAGACCTGGTACCAGAGAGGAGAGCCAGTGCTGCCCAGTGTCTGTGCCACCCCTGGCTCTGCTCCTAACGCCCGCCCACCTCTCCAACAGGAAGAAAACAAAACTATGAAACACACCTGGGCCGCCTCACACCTGCATCGACACGTAAATGATACAAATGCACAAGTCATCAACATTTAGAAAGGTTTTGTTATTTTGCATTTAAAAATTCAGCTCCTGTCGTCTTGGGCATTGTGTTTTGAACCAGGAGAAAACAAGTTTGAAAACACCTGGACTGCCTCATGCCTGCAACAACTCTTGACCTAAATGACATATAAATGATAATCAACAAACAGAATTCATGTTGGGGCATCTGATTTTCAAACAGCAGAAGGAGGAAGTCTAGACTAGCTAGAAATAAAAATACAAAATAAGATCTGGTATGTAAACTAGATCTGTCACGATAACAATATAAACGATAAACAATAATATTGAAACTAACATATGACACTGACAGATTTCCCCCAAAAAACTATGTACAATATGGTTAAAAAGCACAAACTGCAATAAATAAACAGCAGAATCTAACACTTTAGTAGTTAGTTTGTATGTATAATGAGTAGAGGTGGGGCGAGATACAATTTCCACAAGATGAGACGAGACTGGATCTACGAGAACGAGATGTTGACATTTTATTTGCTCTAAATAAATTGGGCAATCTATTTCCCAATTTCATTATCATCACTTTTTATTTTACTTTATTTAATATTTCTGCTGTAGCTCTGCTTTTTGTGACTACAGCTTCTCAAAAATGTATCTTGCCAGTACTTCACTTTTTATCCAATCCAAACATAAAAAACACGGTAAAGAATCTCACAAGATCATTTTCCTCATGTGCTCAATTTTGTGGCAATGTTGTCTGGCGAGATCTTGTCCCATCTCAAATAATGAGTCAGAGAAGTTCCGAATAGTTAATAACACACAACCTTCTATAGAACAGAAAAATAAAAGGTTCCCCACTAGTACCCACCATAAATATTGACTCCCAATCATTATTTTTCCATGTAACATAATTATCAGTTATCGTGACAGGACTAATCTAAACCCCAGGTTTCGTTTTAACAAACCATTTTCAGTTTGAACCAGGGAATAAAAAAAGTTCAAATGCTCCTGGACTGTTCCACTCCTGCTCATGAAGACGTGGACAGTAACAACACATGCACAAGTCAGAG